GACCCCCCCCCCCCTCGGCTGCCTCTGACCATCAAAGGGACTGAGGTGGAGAGGGCTGACAGCCACAAGTTCCCGGGCCTGCAGGTGACATCTGACCTGAGCTGGTCACTGAACACAGCTGCCACAGTGAAGAAAGCCTAGCAGCAGCTATAATTCATCAGGCAGCTCAGAAAAGCTGGGTTGAACAGTGGACCCCTCACCCAGGTTTATAGAGAACTGGTAGAGAGCATCCTCACTACTGGCATCACAGTCTGGTATGGTAACACCACACAGGCAGAGAGGAAGACTCTTCAAAGGGCCATAAAGACTGCAGAGAGGATAACTGGGACTGAACTGCCTGCTATGGACACACTGTACCCACAGCACTGTTGTAAAAGGGCAGAGAACATAATCGGACCCAAGCCACCCAGCTCACTCCCTGCTCAGACACAAAAACTGCACCTACAGCCACAGCAGAGCGGACAGTATCATCACACACAGAACTAGACTTTACAACAGCTTTTTCCCTGCCGCAGTAAGACTGATGACAAATACAAAAATGTGAGAATATATGTGCAATAACCCCTCACTACCTCACCAAGCGTAATGACATATCCAACTCCACCATGTGAATTACTAAGTGTGATGTTTGAAGTTCACTGTGGGAAATACTATTAACTTTTTTTGTGTATTGTGGTTTTAATGGTTTGTCACCTTTATGTAACTTTTTTATTTTAAGACGAAGTGTTCTTTCTGGCTTTTGACTCCTTACATGACTGCAAAGGCGAGCTGCACAAGAATTCCTATATGCCTAGACTGTCTGTTTATGCATAAATGGAAAATAAAAATGTTGAAGCTTGAATTTAGGCTATGAAGGTTTTATTTTAAAATGCAAACACTAGTCGGTTACTACACTGGTTTCGGTGGAAGGAAAGTCATCATAGAAGTAACTATCCATTTTGAAGAAGAACTTCAAAACTGTTTTACAAATAAATCACCTTGAAGGATGTTGCTTATCGACCTGTAATGCACTAAGTGTAATGCAACGCCAGGACTGGGTTCTTTTTACACCCAAACAAAACTTAAAAATTATTTTAGTTTGATTTTGCAAATATAGATCCAACAATAAAAAACAGTATTTACCACAGTCATGCTTCGTATTATGGGACTGAGTAGGAAGACCATGTGCTGCTGGATCTCCTGGCTCCTTTCCAGCAGGATGTAGAAAAACTCCACAAAGCCAAAAGAAGCCAGCAAGAAACCAAACACCTGAGCAGGACAAGAAAGTAATTGAAGATTAATTGGAGAATCTTTGTTTATGTACAATCACATTTACAATTCTATTTCTGTTGATACTATAGATCTTGTTCAGAAAAACTAATAGAATGTTTGCTTGAACAGTATGTTGAACACCAGCTAAAGTTTGTGTGAAATCTCACCATTTTGGTGGAGCAGAGGCAAGACATTTGAATGCGTCCATGGTCATGGCAGTAGAGGTGAAGACAGTAGAAAGGGGCCAGCAACCACAGATAAACACACGGAACCCACACCAGCACTGTATTCTGGAAACACTGGGTCAGGTCTGGGTTGGCTGTGTACCATGTACGGTTCCAGTCCTGCAACAGACAGAAAATAAGAAAATCAAAAGTTCAGATCAAGAGAATACACTTATAAGACAGACACTGATGTGAGATTATATTCATCATCTGACAGACAGCTGGCAGGGCCAAGTCCAGAGACTCCAGACTTGGTGCAGGTCCTACGATTCTTCCATCAAAGCAGAGGAGACTGAAACCACAGCAAGTCAACAGAAAATGTGTCTGTTCCCAATCCTGACAGGGTGTGAGTTGGAAGAGGTCTTCTACCACTAAAAAGCTGAGTCAGTCTGGGATATTTCTTACCACTTCTCTTGCTTTTTCCTTATTTTGGTTAGGACAGTGTAAGCTGTCGACATGCTAAACTATAAGGTTAAGGATTATACTAATAGTGAAGCCTATAAACAATAAAACCCCATGCAGAGGAGGTGTGCTAGGTAAATGCTGCCAAAACTTGAAGATTACATAATAGCAGTAGCAGTGCAATGATAGGTTGTCTATGGTAAAAAAAACAAAACAAAACACACACACACACACACACACACCCACACACATAAGGAGCTCAGTGGCTTGTTGTTGTCTTGTGTCACTTGTTTATGACCTCACTGGCCTAATGATGGGAAGGGTGTCTGACTCTGCTAACAAGACTGCCCTGCAGACTCACCACAGGAAGTGATTTAAAGCTTGGAGCATGGCAGAGCAGTCTGATCTTGCTAATAGACTCCCAGCTGGGATAAGAGAAAGTGGCCACAATTAGTGGCAGCTGCAGGATTATTACGTAACAATTGTCTGCCCGCGGGGCTACTACTAAACCACTGCAGGAGAGATGCACTCCACACATACAGCTCAGGGCAGCCATGTCTTGGCATGAAGTGATTATTGCAAGATTAGTATCAATCGCTGCTGCCTGCTTGTACTCTTTCAGTTCAAATCAAAGCTGGTACAGTATCTGCTTAACCACGAACCACATAAATGTTGATAAAATACCTGATAATAGTCATGAGCATACTATGTAGTAGCGGTCTCCATGACCACTAATGTATCAAAATCAGGTTAAGTGATAAATCATTTGAGTGGCAGTGAGTGGGAAGCCACTTTCACAGACCCTTCTGACTCCTGTGGTCAATGAAAGGAGGATGAACAGAACACTTTTATGTAAGAAATCCACCTTGTCAAACTCTCTGCAGGTTCTTGCTTATGCATTTTGCTCAGTAGTTATGGTGTTTCTCACCCTTGGCTGAAGCAGTTACAGTACACTAAAAGATGCCAATGGCCTGGGTGCTGCAAGGTATCTATTTTTGCCTGACTAACACAGTGGTGTGAAATGGGAGAATAGAGACTTTTACTGTGCTGCAAATCTGCTGAATGCTCCTTTTTACATCCTCTCTATTTGATAAACCAATTCAGTGCCTAATCACCCCCTTTTAATGAAAATCATAATACCATAAATGAAATCTTTGACACGTGGTTGTGAGGAAAGCACTGTACATCTAATGTATGCGGCATGTATGAACCAAGGACATTGTAATTTTACAGAGCATTGATCATTCTAACACTTTCACCTAGATTTTATCCTGTTGTTCAAATTACAGGATGACTTAACTCAAGGAGAAAGAAACTAAATACATTAATTGCTTACAGTTTATACCTGAAAGTACTCTGCAGCCAATATATGCCAGAAACATCTGTCTGTGCTTTGTGGTGGATGTTCTGTAGCTGAGAACATTACTGTCTATACTGTGAACTTCCATAAGAAAGAGGGTTGCAGGTAATGATCCATCATTTTACTTTCACTTTCTCAACAAAGTTTGATTTTGAGGTTGTGCAGGAGAAAAACAGAAAATGAGCTGTAATGAGAAGCAGAAGGTGAGTGGAAGAGGGAAAAGTCCGGAAACGTGGAGTGAGTACATCCAGTAATTTTGGTACTGGATGAACAGAGGCATTTATCGATTGTCAAGCTGGGATACAAAATGTGGAGGCTTGATAATATACAAGACTAAAAAAACCTTTCCAAAAACAGCAGCTTACTCAGTGGGACCCAGCCCCACTTCGCCTGAATCACAGAGCAGAGTGACAGTAAACACAGCTCTGACACACAGCAGTGGTAAAGACTCCCATTCAAACATGCTTTAGATTGGACTGCTAATGCACTACACAAACAGGCTGCAAAGTGAGAAGGTCAGCATATGCTGTAGTGAATTTTTTCCTGCACTGCCAGCTAACATTTCAGGTAACCAAACTCCCTCTTCTCCTCCTTCACACAAGCTTAATAGTTTTTAATGCTATCTTTTTAGTAAAATTCTGGGCTGGGCAGTAAAAAACAATTGACTGCTATGTTAGCCAAAGTTTAAAGGACAGCATGCTAATGTGGCTAATGCTAATGATTATAACTAGTGCATTTCATCAGTTTTCATGAAACAGGTTAATCAGTATAAATAAGCAAATGCTAATAATATATCTAACTGTGTAAATGTGATCATACACTATTTCAAAATCTTAACTGAATATGGTTAAAGAGTAACTGTTTTGGACAGAAAAAGACACACTCAGTAAAGAAACATGAGTTCAAGGTCAATGAACCTATTGCACACTCACCCACAGAGGGTCCAGACCACTGAGTCTGCAAAAGGCATCCATCCACTCGCTTGCTGCTTCCTCTCTGATGCTCCACTTGTCAGGATCGAACAGCCCTTCTCCTCACGCTGGGTCGCACACACTCAGTACCACCAGTGTGTGTGTATATGTTTGTGATAGGGGAGAAAGAATACAGTATGTGTGTCCTTGTTAGCCTTTTCCTTTCTAGCTATTGGTAATTCTTGGATTTAGTCGGTTCCTGCTTGTTTGTCTGGGCGGCACGCTCTGTGTTTATTAATGTGTGTTTGAGTGTGTCTGTTTGACTTTTCTTCTCTTTTAATAAAACATCTTCTCTCAATGAAACGCTGTTTCTGTCTGCCTCCGTTTTTGAATTGCAGCTGCCCTGAGATCCTTTGCATTTCTGACTTGAACTCTGTCTGCCGGCTGTTTATGAGTGTGTCTCCTTTTTGGGTGGGTGGAAATATTTCTGTCTCTCTCTCTCTCTCTCTCTCTCACACCCCTCTCTTCTCTTCCACATCTGCTGGATTTCAATCATAACACCACAGCTACTGCCCTCAGTGGGATGACAGTCCCACTTCCAGACACACTCCTCCCACTTTCACTCATTGCCCCTTTCTCACTCATTCCTTTCCCCATATCCCAAACCACCAGACATCTAACAACACAGTTTTGCAACAGTATTAGCAACACTGTTGTGACTGTTTAACATATCAGCCCAAAATCTCCCATAGGTGTTCAGCTTGGTTGAGATCGGGTGCCTGTGAAGGTCATGGCATATAATTCCCATAATTTTTATACACACCAATCCATTCAGTGACCCCTTGTGCCCTGTGGATGGGGTCACTATCATCCTGGAAGAGACCACTCATTTATAGTTTTTCCTGTAATGTGTCACCTGCATGTATATCCATAGATATCACCAGTGTGAAATAAAACTTAACAAATCAGCATGCACCTGTATGTGTGGTAGCATCTTTGTAACTGGGCACTAATAAAATACTGGACAAGCCCCAAAATTGGGATTTCAGTCCAGATGTGCACACTGATTTGATTATTTTTGTTGAATGGAAAATGTAGAGTGACCTCAGTGGCGCAAAACCTCACATGCATTTCCAAGTATTGCAAAACAGCTTAGTGATATGGGAAGTAAAGCTAATGAATTTGGTTAATTAGTCATCCTATTGGGCTGAAACTTGCATTGTAAGTGGAAAATATGTAATCATCACACAAGATTGTCTGTTAGTACTATATTTGAATTAGAGTTGGGTTAAGCTTGTAATTTCTTTTGTCAGTGAAGGCTCACTACAGGAAATAAGAAAGACGACTTTAGCTGGTGATGTCACTATTATGTATTTTAAAGGCAAATGTGCAGGTTTTTTTTAGCTAACAAGCCTGGTTAAACTGATCTGAAATCTAAAAATGATCATAAAATAAAACAGTGCAGCAAAAATCTGCCTTGAGAAATATTATTAGACATTGCATAAGCCAAAAGCCAAGATTATATGTCCTCAAGGCTCTCTGTAGTCTCCTGAAAAGCATCATCAAATGGCATGATGACGGTCACTCTGGTCAAGACACAGGGGAAAACTTCAGTGCAGCAGCTGCACAGGAAAGTATGACACAGTTTCAGCTGAGACTGACACCACTATTGCCATCACCACCGCAGAGAAGAAACATGGAAAATTCTCCAAAGAGGTGGACCACCGCCGGGCCTCGTGTCTCGCCATGTGCAAATTCGAGATTATTATTCTTTTAAAAATGAGTCATTGCTTTATGTTTCTTTACCAGGCAAGTGAGTCCTTTTTATTCTGCACTTTGGCTCCTGCTGCAAAATGATGAGAATTATGCAACATGATGTGAATTCATTTGAATATGTTTTTTCTTTTTGAAGTAGGATTTGAAGCTCTTGCTTTATGGAATAATTTGAGGTGACATAACGACAGAAAACAGGAATGCTCATTGTGGTTAATAGTAGTGGTTAGAAACAAAGGTTTTATGTTTGGTGTCTCTTTATGTCTGGTAAGAAAGTCAGAAAGTTCAAAGTGACCATTTGCTGTCCCCAGAGTTTATCCTGCTGGCCTCAGCACTAACCAGAGAGTGCACATAGGAATAAGAGAAAATACATTTGTATGACACAGTCTTATGTAGTGGTCAGACAGATCTAAGCAAAACAAACATCCATGGTCTAACTGACTGTTGAGTTATGTCTCAATCCCACAGCCTGACCTGAGTGTTGCCACCACCAAGAAATAATCCAAAACACCTCAGCAGCAGTGGGGTGGGCGATGTGTATGCAACTATAGAGGCAGCAGTGTTCACAGTGCACCTCTTTGTCTCAGATAATGTCCAGGGTGCAAATAGTGGGAGAGAAAGACACTTGGCATGTACTGTATCTCCTTTTTATTTTAGCTGACATGCTCTGTGGCTGAGAGTGTTTGTGTTTTCAAATCAACAGTGGACAGATGACAACATCTGGTGCTTGGCAGTAGAAGTACAGAGAACTTTTCTGGAAAGTGTGCAATGGGCTCCCCAACCCCCTTCACTACAAATTTCATTGCAGAACCTGAGCCAAGACTCCTCAGCTGATTGGACCAGACAGGAGCTTGAGGTTGGAGATGTTGCAATGCATGGAGAAAAAGTAGCTAAAAAAAAAAAAAAGCAGCCGTGTGCATTCAGTGCTGTGCAAGAGCTGTTCAAACTGCAGGCCCAAAACAGTTTACTATAACCAAACACACACATGGCCAACCTGTAAATACAATCCAAATGAGCTCTGTGCCAGCCTGAGGCACTGGACTGGGGCTGCTTGTGGTTATGGCATGTAGCAATAGTAATGTGGCAGGCGGTGGATGCAGAGGATGGCTGTGGGCGTGAAAGTGCACCAGCCAACCCGTGGTCTAGTGGTGGTTGACCAGACTAGGTCACCTACACTTCCTCTAGCCTCTCTCTCTGGGAGGAAAAACAGTCTAGTCAAAATAATGGTGTCATTTTGGCTTCTTACGTTTGAGCAAGGGGAGACAAATTTAGCAACAGCAAAGGAAAGGGAATGGCCTAAAACAGATTAAGAAATAAGTGAACAAAATATCTGTTTTGTTTTAAATAAGCAGTCTCAAATGAGCTCCAGGGCAGCCTGTAAATTCAGATGTGTCAGCCTACGCAATTTTACCCAAAGTGCCATCTTAATCTGGCCTGACTGCTGTGCTCATTAGATGAAACTGAGCTTTGACTCTGACTTGGTTCCAGGCTGTCAGCAGGACTGCTGTGTTATGCAAGTTGATATGATGACGAAAATACTGTGTGCGTGTACCGCATGTGTGTATCTGTGTATCCGACCTGTTTCCCCAGTTTGCAGACTTTAGACCTGTCTCACATGCCACTGTGAGTGGTATAAGCCTAAAAGTATTTATCACCTCGCTGCCTCCTCGCTGAGGAGCTGCTCATTCAAAAGAAGTCCAAATACTCTTGCTTGATAGTCACGCACACCTACAAAGACACTCATTAATTTCCTAGAGAGTTACCCTAACCTTAAACCAAGTCATTAATCTAAAATTTAATCAGTTATGTTTTGCTTTTTGTCTCCATAAAGATGTTGAATCCCCACAGAGATGACCGTGTAGTCAGATTTACATCCCCAGAGCAGAAGTAATACCAGGTCTCACACACACACACACACATGAGCGCACACACTCAGAAAGAAGTTTTAGAAAATGTTTTTACTCACTCTCTTTACAAGACTTGAGAAGATTGATGGATACCACTCTCACATTTACTTATTTAAATATATGACCGCAGCAGGCAGCCGCTATCTTCACTTAGTATAAAGACGGGGAAAAAACTGTCAGCCCCTCTGAATGTTAGAAAATCTACCTACCAGCACATTTAAAGTTTTTAAAACAAATTTTACAGTAGGTGTGAAAATACAAGATGAGTGGAAAGATGCAAGTAAGCAAATTCACCCAAGGTGGCACAAACTGAGGCTAAGATTCATTCATGTCATTTAAAAATGTCAGCTTCAGTGAAAAATTACCATGGACCCATTATGAATTGGCCTCATACACAGAGACAAGTGGCAAAAGGAGATTAGTCAAAGGCTGAACCATGTGATGCACACACACTCCTACACACATGGTTGGTGTATCCTTTGCTAGCTAGCCTACAGCTAACCTCTGTACAGCTGGTTCACTGTTCATGTTCATGAGTGTTACAAATCAGCACAGCAAAAACGGTTCAACAGACACATTGACACTCATGTCTGAACACACCTCTAAGTTCACTGAGAAAAAAAATCTTATTAGTGTAATTCATATTATTAAACAAACAATGTATAACATATTCATTATTGAGCGTTAGAGGTGCTGGTTGCTACATTTTTTCTTAACTATCACTTGCTCAGATGTTGCTTCCCCCTGTTTTTCAATTTTTATGCTAAGCAAAGCTAAACAGCTGCTATTTACTAGACGTTTGAACTCACAATGGAACTTTCTGCAAGAAAGCAAAGAAGTATTTTCCCCCCCAAAAAATCAAACTATTACTGTAGTAGTAAAGGCAATGTATTTAGACTGATCAGAAAACCCCTCAACATAGTCCCCAGCTTTCTGTGAGAGATATTTACTCTAAATCGTAGTCTGACCTTCACCAAAAGAGAAAAATATGGTGTGTAACCAATTTAGAACTAGTAAAGCAATTGCTAGACTAGTGGGTTTCTTTTTTGGTAACTCTGAGCTTGACTTGAGATCAGACCTCAGACACAATAAAGATGTCCTTTTTCTTCTCAGACAGCAGATGGGTTGCCATTACTTTCTCAACTGCCCTGGGACCAGAAAGGGTCTGAATGAGATTGTGCTGTGATTATCCTTCAGAGGAAAACCACACGGGATGACAGCCAGTCAGAGGGATGGTGTGGAGGACTTGCTTTGAAACAAACAATGTAAACACTTCGTTGTCAATTATCTTTTTGCAGTTGTTGTCCTTGCTTAATGACTCACTAATCATAAAGTGCATATAGTTTACTTACTCTATTAAAATAATGTATAAATAATAGTTAT